TGAAACCCTTTTAAAATAAGGTGCTGTTTTTAAACTGCAGAGCGTCAAAATAAAAAAATTTCCTTGGATTTGTGTAACGTAAAATAAGAATTTAAGTATTCAACAACATTTACGAAGTTGTATTAAGCACTTTAAGTAAGTGGATTTTTTTACGGAGAGCTAGCGAAAAAAAACTCGCAAAACAGCGTCTAACGCAAACTGCTTCATAAAATTCGTTATTTTGTGTATAGACGCATACTCTTTTCATTCACAGAACGACGAAGAACAATGTTTTTATTTCCAACATACTTTACTGAGTTAAAACATCACCTAGAAATACAGTCTCAATGACTTTGTTTTGATGCATTCGAATGCGTTCACTTTTCATACATCGCAATGGCTTTTTTCGCATTCTTGGCACATAAAAAATGAGTTATTTCACAAACAAGCGAAACCAATATTTAGACTCAACGTTCGAGTAAAAACCCGCCGTTTTATGAAGCAAGAGTCTGTTACCATAAAAACAAATATTTCGCAGTATCACACTCCAAAAACTATCGCTGGAAAAGGTCCGCTCTAGAGATCAATGTTGTTTATGGTACAATAGACTTTATTTCAATATAATAAAACAAAGAAACATTTTGGTAATGAAAAAATAAAGTGCCAAAAAAATAGAAGGCGTGATATGAGGTGTGAATGTAGAATGTGTGTAGATCTGGGTGTGTTTGTTCTTCACAAAATTGTTTGCCTCCACACCTGCACCTATATCGTTTTCGTAATCGGACGAAAAAAAAAGAAATGCTTTTTGATAATTTTTTATTAATGACGGATGAATGATCTTGTTCAATATTCGACATATTTTAATATTGATTAACAATCAGTTTTACTTTCCAGATAAATAACATTAAAATCCATTTTTCTTACGTCACGTTCTTCTTTTTTATTCCATTGAATAATTATTCAATAAAAGTTCAATTGAATGAATAAAAAAAATGGTATTTGTAAATTTTCATGCATAATAAAAATGATAGTATGGTGATAGAAGTATACGATGAAGGTCTTTATCTAATATTTGACAAAATTTTTGCAAAAAGATAAAAAAAATAATTAAGACAAAAAAAAACTCAAAGAAATAAATACTTACGTATTAAATTTTCTACAGAAATATCACAAAGACTATGTTTTAATAGATGATAAAATCAAATCAAATTGTTGATCATTCCGATCGAATACATCAATCTTAATGTAACAAGTTCACTGTGAATTTTAATATAAATACAAGTGATTTGTTCAAGGTCATCCAGTTGATATTTTGATACAAGAAAATACATTTCAGATGATTCGATTATTTCATGAATCTAATGAGAAAAAGAAACAAAGAGCATACTTGATTTCATAGATATATACAAAACTTTATACTATTTAGTCAAAGGTTAACTAAGAAAATGACGTTCCAAAAGATAAATTACTACTTTTATTTAAATAAGAACTTTCAATGTTTTTCTTTATTTTGAACAATATTTCTCAATGTCTTCTTTTCAATTATGAATATCATCCATAAATTTTAATAATTATTTTCTATGAAAGGTTCAAATGTCAATTCGATGATTATTAGTTAGATTACTTTTACTACCAATTACCATTTGATTTTCTATCTAAGATTAAATAATCAAATAAAATACAGTTATTTTGGAGATTTACAAAGACAATTAGACTCGCAAGGTTTTTTGATTTCAATTAGACTTTGAACATGAATTAATAAGAACTATACTAAAGAGAATTTAAATTCGCACTACAATAAATAGAAGTTAGAAAATTTTATTATTCAATGAATGTTCAACTTCTTTTTTTCATGACTCGATATGACGTAAGATAGTGTAAGAATTATAACGAATTCTAATTAACTTCGAGATAAAAAACTTAATGAGAAGACATATTTTTCTTGCAAGCATATATTTTATTATCAGATAGAATCAAGTTTTGAATGAAAAATCTTAAACAAACTCATTTCATAATTGATTTTAGGAAATATTTGTAACAAGTTCCTCTTTACTGTTACTATTTTTTACATTATAGAAAGCAATGCTTTCATCTCATTCTTTCCATGTTACTACCAAATTTTGCAGTATATTTTTTCACTTGTTCATCATATACTGTTGCATGATGTCTCAATACAATCAAGTAACAAAAGACAATGTCTCATATTCTTCATGATTAATTTGAAATTTCAAAAGGCATTTGATCATAGTGAAGCTAGGCAAATAACTAGTAAATCTATCATTTTGTATGCGAAATGACAATAAAAATGTTGTGTACTTCTTGTTTTTCTATACAGTTTTTAGCATCGTCAATCACTTTTTTAGCGTTTAGTTTGTTCGAATTCAATTTTAATTTTATCTAAGCTTGATCTTGAAGATATGGGTGTGTAGTAGTGAGTTTGGGTGTCACTTAACCGTTACATCTACCCACACTCATTCATTAAGGTAGGTTTACGTTGTAGGAAAGATGCTCAGAGGAATGAAGCTCTCTTGATAAAAATGTGTCACTCCTAATGTATACAAGATACAGAATTGCATTGTGAACGTTTTAAGGAAAAGTTAAGTTTGAAGCAATGAAAATTGATTTATTTGCATGTTCTTCTTGAAAAATCGGTGTATGTTGTGAAAAGAGTGAACAATATTCACCTTTTCGTCACATTATCGCACCCCATGTTATCATTCCTCTTCTGCAGAGGAAATTCATTCTGAAAGAAAAAAGGCTTATTAATACGGCCCCTTTGAGATTGAAATGTGGAACTCATATATTTCACATAAGGTAAAATTCTCAACCACTATAAAACCAGATGCTCCATTCTGTAAAGGGGATGTGCCTCTAATAGGAGGCTGTCTCTACTGATGGGGAGCCGAAAAACTTTCGATCATTATTTTTCTTGAAAAATGTATATGAATTTCACAAAATCAGATGGAGTCATGGTTGCAAATGAACAAGAAAGAGTATAATCTAATGTCAATATTTGCACTGTGTTGTGTGCATTTGACGAGAAAACAGAGAAGTTAAAAGTTTAGAAAGAAAGCATGTGTCTGAAACAGAAGCTCTTGTTGACAAAACGCAATCGCAAAAGTCAATAATTGATAAAAGGCATACGCAACTTCGCTGTCTCTCTATCTTTCATCAAAGCCTTGCAATTCATTTCATCCATACCATTCAATCACGTATTTTGCGGACAAAGGGTGTGGATGTAGACGAAGCAAAGATCAATGCCCACATCCAGTTTCATACTCTCCTTCGAATGCTTTATTCTATTTCTGAGATTACTTGCCAACCGATTATCTGATATTCAATGATAACTACAATCTGAGAGTTATAAAAAATTCGTTACAGTGAACGAATGCTCTTAGATAAACTCTTTTTGCAAGTAAAAAATGCGATGAAGCATTTATACTGATTCGACCATGTTTGCCAGTATCTATGAGCTTACAAAACGAATGGCACAACAAAAAAAAATATAGTCTACAGCAGTCAGATGGCAGTTCCAATACAGAACATTTTAAAAACGACATACAAAGCATATCTGATTGAAACCTAAATAGTATATCTCGCTATTATCTCGGTGTTATTTTCCTTTTTGTTAAATTATTATGAGTGTTGATAAAATATTTATTTTCTGTACTTTTTACGTGAAGCTACAATGATCAGTTTGCAGGCAGTTAATATTGCAATAAAGTATACAAGTGAGGGAAGCACAACATCACTTTGTCTTTTGTTCTTTTTTCCAAGTGGACTGAAAAATTTCTGTACTTTTAAGAAAGATACATATTCTTTAGTGTAGATCACTGAAGGCTCTCAGAATAATAAGGAAGGAGTTCTTGTGAATTAAAGCAACGTAAGAAACGGTAGAGATTTTTGTAATTTAGGAGAAGTTATCTCCATTTCGTTTTAAACGAAACTTATATGACAAAACTTTACTTAACAACAATTTTCGAACAACTTCACCGGTGTCTTAAATCAACAAACTCGTGGTGTTAAAAATGCAACGGGAGATAAACGATATATGTAGACATCGTGTTCTTGTACATTGAATTACTAGAGATAGATAAATCCTCCATTGCATACCTCTAGAACCGACACATCTTAAGTATATTCCCTATGCATGTTTATATTCTGATCGAATCTTTTTTTGCAAATAACAGCATAACGGCGTTCATACAATGCCTGTGACACGTCGTGCGTCTACAGTTCCCTACTCTCCCTTAGCTATCAGATATGTTGGTGTTTGAGTGCCGATAAAGAGAAAATGAACATGTGCCGGCACACTACAACCAAACCCACACCATTCATTGATATCAGTTAATTCTGAGAATTTCGTCAGTTCGTAGGATCCCATTTTTGTTATGACCGATGAGTCCTTATGTTTTCGTTGATACTTGACTTTCGACAATCTCAAGAGTTCCTGAATTCACGAAACTTGCTCACTGTTGTCATTGGCAAATGATTACGTGAGATGTTGCATATTACAGAAAAGTTCTAAAGCTGATTCGAAATAGAAACTTTTTTCATTCATTCATGAGAAATGACTCATAATAGATCTTTTTTGAAGAAACAAGTTGGAGAACGTCAAAATAGTCGAGGAAACAATATTAACTTTTTGTTTCTATTCTGATAAGAAGTGCTCACCTAATTATAAGAGAACAAAATGAAATCTACGAGAAAAAAATAATGCAACTTTTGGTTTTACTAGGGCAAAAAATGAATAACTTAGAATTTACATTAGAAACAAAAAAGTACAAATCTATTCATATCTCTCAACCTTTTTGATCTCCAACTAAGTTTGTTGTCTAATAACCGTTTCATTATACCTCGAATGTGCAACATTAATTCTGAATTTCATTTCCATCTAAGTTGCATCATATTCATCTTTTTCGTATTTTTATAATTGAATGTATCGTTAACGCCTAGAGCTAAGTACTATTGAAAATGACTTTAAGCTGCAACGATGACAATAGTCGTACATCGCGTTTTCAATGCATTTTGACCGGCAAACGAAATGTGATGATGCTGCTTCTACACAACTGAAAATGGTCAAATTGTACGTCAAACAACAAGTAAATGCAATATTGCCGCTCATACATCAAGTAGCAACAACAATGATATTTAAAAATGATCATTGTCGACTATTAGAAGAAACTTTGGAATTTACTCTACCTGAAACAGCAACCATTTGCCGATTCGGTGAGTAAAATTGATAGAATGATCAGTCAATTTATGATATCAAAAGATAAATCGTACCGATATTTCTTTCATAGGTCTTGATGTTGACGGTGTTGTAATGGTTCAAGGAAATAACTAAAATCGAAAATGATCGCTTTCTAGTCCATATTCCTATCTACTTTAATACTATTCTTGAAAGTTTGGATATTTCATTGATTTGTGCACACATACCAAATGATTGCCACACCAGAGATTCCTTCAAATGTTCCATTTAAACAATCTTTTGTTTATTTCAAAAGGAAAACATTATTATGAACTTCACCACATTAATGTTAAACCATTGCAAGGCGAACAATTTATTATGCACATGCTAAAAAATTTAACATCATAATGATCTATTTATAGCGTAGAAATTGACTCCAATGATCGTAATCAAGCCTATTGTGCTCTATGTTATGCGATGCCAGTATTGAAATCCCATAATATCGTACACAATAGTCGCAATATAATGTCGATTTCTATACTTTGGAATGCAAGTTTAAGTCGAGCCAATGTTGAAAATTGTAATTATGAAATTAATATGCTCAAGATGACATTAAACATTTGGCAATCGAGTGGTTGTAATATCAATGTCACAGTAGTTGTTTTTCGAAATGTACTTGAAGAACCATGTTCATTTAACCTACATGAACAAGATTATTGGTCTAAACTAGGTATGATGGTGCAACAAATCTATTTCAATTAGCTACACTTTCAACTAGTATTTTACAAGTAACACATGATTTTTTATTTAGTAATGTAATTTTGCACATGTACCGACATATTATCATTGATTAACTATTTAACTAATCTTAATGGTGGTGGTAGTTACATTTCGCGTGAAAAAATCATCAGTCAAAAGAGGGTTAATGATATCGTTCAATGAAGCAATAGACTGCAAACAAAATATATCAATACGGATGTTGACAATAATGCCAATATTCATGATATTTATCCAAGTCACTCAATTATATTAACACCAAATACAGAACGATTTCTACTTGTCGAAAAAGATTTATCATGAGTTTTAACTAATATTGCTGTTAATTTTATTATTTCGAACCAAATTAGATCGTAAAGAATTGATGATAGATAAAGCAGATTCAACATGTGAAAACTATGGATTGTTACGACGATTATATGCTGAACACATGTTAATTGAATTAACTACATTTCCAAAAACAAAATAGAAAAAAAAGTATTTTAGATATTGATATGAAATATTAAATTGTTAGTGATTTTACATCCATACTTGTTCTAGAAACATTACAACAAGATATTGAACATAAAAGTATGTTCACATCAATCGCGTATAAAATTATATAACGATTTTATGGCTTAACAACACAATAAAGAACAAGAAGAATTGACAAAAAATCAAGCAAAATTTATAGCTGTCTTGAATTTATGGCAAGCACGGTGTATATGGTATGATAAAATGATAACAGAGACAGATTGTAGAAATGCATTTAGAAAACAACCTGACGATCATCGATCTACAGATTACCTTCGAACCTTACGAATGCTAAACGAATCATTGTGCAGAGGGAATGAAAAGTTTTCCAGATGATAATAATTCAAGCGTTCACCTTTCGATCTCTTATAAAGCTGCAATGCCATTATCCATTTCAACTCAAAGTTTCAGTGATGAGAGTTGTATTATTCCTAATCACAGTAAGACTCAAACAATAACTCTCCAAAATTGGAATCTGCAAACACCATACATGAATAAACTTAAATGAAACGGTAACTTACGAACAGCTCATCAAATTTATTTAAATGAAGGTCAATCATCTTCTAAATTGCCATCATTTTATTTTCATATAGCATCTTATTTTTTCTCATACACTTCTTCTTCGATTTCGAAACCCTCATCAATTGATACATTTAATCAACATTATTCAATGTCATATTTTAGTATTCAAAGAGTTTCAAATGAAATTAATATTAGCAATTCCAATTCAAATAAACGTGAATATTTTGGTTTACGTATTCTAACAAGTGTATTAGAATTGGAATCGCCACAATTGTTACGAGCTGTTGCTTATAAACTTGTCGAACTTCGTCTATTCAGTTTAGCTGAGAATATGTTTTGAGACATTCTAAATTCGAGATCTAGTACTATTATTGTAAGAATCTAATATTGAAACTAAGAACATAATAGAAATATTGAATCTATTTAAGAAAGTTATATTTGGTGATTGAGATAGTCATTTTGCTGAAATTGAAGTTATGACATTGCACGAATTCAATTCCTTTCTATTTAAGTTTTATCAACAATAACAAATATCTAATTCGATTGATAGTCATCTAATTCGTCATTTATATGTTGACTTGAGAAATGCTTTGGTTTTGGATACAGATGTTGATTTAGATGTCATTGAACCAACCGGTGAAGAATGCTATGATTTCCATAAAAATACAGCTATTGGTGGAATGATAAGTCATGATTTTACAACTGGCTATGAATCAGAAGAATATCTAATTCGAAAAGCTGTCAAAGGTACATATATAGTTTGTGTAAAATATTTTACTAATCATCAACTAAGTTTAACTGGCGCAACGACAATAATGGTACATATCTATAAGTATTATGGTCAATCGAATCAATAAAAAGAAATTGTCTAACTACGATTGAGTAGTAGTAAGAAAATGACTGATGTATGTAAAATGAACTTTAGTGATGACATCAAACTAAAATCAGAAAATACAGTAGCACATGATCAAAATTCGAATACAAATATTCTTCTAAATATTACTTGTGATGGATGTGAAATGTCAACAATAAAAAGGAGATTGTTATACATGTTTATTTTGTCCATATATTGACTTTCGTCAATCATGTCAAGATGACTCGACCCATCAATATAATCATCCATTATTGTGTATTAAAGATTAAAGTGTATATCCAAAATCATTATACATATATAATCGAAACAATATTAATCATAAGAACAATTCATATTTCATGAAATCAATTATAGATATTAGGTTACAAATGTGTTTGTGAAATAAATTGATGTGAAAAATGTGAACTCATGGGCTTACATAATACAGATCATTGTCGCACAAAAACAAATTGATTAGAATGATTCAATTGAAGTTTTCAATTATCACATGCTTTACTTGTATTACATATAAATTCTTTTGATTATTTGCTTCTATTCCATATTAATAAACTAAATTTACTTTACGATATATATTAAATTTGAACTGAGTTAGTTTATCGAATGCTCAAGAAATTGTTATTTTCACACTACTTATGCATACAAGTAGAACAGATATTCTGACTACAACACTCTATGCTCCCTGTAACTTGCATGATAATGTTTCGTAGAAGCAATGTGAAGTACTATCAGAACTATTTAATCATCGTTTCATGTATTTGATACATACAATATTGTAACGAAAAACGATTGGGGAGAGTGTAGGTGTAGATAAATAGAACATTTATATTCTTATTCATGCTCTACTTTGATTATATTATCAATGACGAACAATAAATTCGAGCATTTAATTAGTTAACATTCAAGAAGATAATGATCACCGAAATAAAACAATAGATTTTGAAACGAATAAACGTGCATTGATTATCTTGAAGATATGATTAAGTATTAATGACAATCGAATTGAGTGTATTTCGATCTTCGTAATATATAGAATGTGTTTGTATTTTGAAGAAAACTCTCAAGTAAAACTAATTCTACGAACATGATATTCGGCAAGTTACA